TTCCTCTACCCTGGTGCAATACCCCGACATGAATCATTAAAGAAACAATGCTGAAGGCAGTGGCGTATCTATCATACGCGTGGGTGGTGCAGCTGCGCCGACGCCGGCGAAACCCGGGGAATCCTGACCGCGGGCCTTAATGGCTTTTAATTTCGTAATCTCTAGGCTACCATCGAAAATGCGCATTTTCTTCTCTTTTCTTTCTTCTATCGGCGCGTAGAAATCTTGATATCTCGTTTTATTACCAAAACATAGCTGAAGCTCATCAACACACGGAAACAAAGACAAGATCGCACGTTTACCCGCGAACTTTATTTTTAGTTTTATTATTTTTTAATCGTAACGTAATTAAATTTGCGGTTATTAAACGCATAGCTTCCGGGCTTTGAAAAGTTTCTTAAAACGCTTTGTGCATAACTCAATCTATTTAATACAAAATCACGTTCCCTTCGGTAAGCCGTGATTCGTATCGGACCGTATCCGATATGATACACCTCGATACGAAACAAGCCGCCGGTTTTATCAGCGATGGAACGCGACTCTCTTCCCTCCCCCCCTCTTTCTTTCTGCCTCTAGGTATTTCTCCCTACCGGTATAAAGACTAAGACAAAAACGCGAGCGTCTAACCAGCGCGAGGTTTATTGAATGAAAATACGTTTCTTTTTTTTCTTTTCTTTTTTTTTTCTTTTTTTTTTTTTTTACTTCGTACGTACGTCGCAGCATCTCGCCAAACACCGAATGAAACAATAGCCATTATATAGAACATTCGCGCGCACGTATCGCGCATACGTTCGCGGAATCTCCGTACGTGTGCATTACGTATGTCGCAGCGAGGTTTACCTAGGATACCACTTGTAATGTGCCGCGAAAGTGTCCTTGTGTGCGTAATACACGAGATGGGTCTCGCGCGCGCGCGTGCTTGCTTGCTCGCGCGACAGACAGCTGTTCGTACTATTATATCCGGCGCACGGTCGCATAATGCCTTAAGGACAATCGTGGGAATTCCATTAAGTGGCCTTGAATGGTTCATTCATGTCGATCAATTCTTTTCCTAACGGAATGACGGTTGACAGATCAATCGGCCGCTCGGGCACGAGAGCGACCCACGGGATTTCACTCGCTCGCTTCTTGAGATTGAGAGAAATGTCGGAGTCAATTACTATCGGGTGCAGCCCGTGATACCGCGATCGTCATCGTCGTCGGGAATGTTAGTATTGGTTCGAGTTCTCCCGATCGAGACCTCTCGCGAGTCGATCGTGGCTTATCCACTCGATTCGTTCTTCTTCGACGAGCACTACCGTGCTTTCCGTTGTTGGATAATCAAAGTGATCAATAGATCGAACAATAATTGATAAAATGCAATTATGCAACTTTAGTAAATCAATAGCATAACAGTTGTAATCTGTTTTGTTGCACAAAATAATATGAAAAATAGTATGAAGTACCAATATGAACAAAGGCTCGAACGCGGTGACCAAGTGATAAAGCTGAAAAAATGAATGTACATAAAACAGACACGGGTCATTCGCGCGAAGATGAGACATGGAACATAGTCTGGATGCATCTCTTTCGATTTTTGCAGGATGCTGGACAATTATGACAGGGGTGAGGTGACACCGCCACCACCAGCGGTAAGCGGTTACGGCTCCCCCGGTCTCTTGGCACTCCACTCCTCGCTTTACGCGACTCCCACGTCAAGGGCCTACGACATTGATTCCGGTATCGACGGCAACGACAGCTCGATGCCCATCGACGCCCAAATCATCTCGGTACGGCGCTTCAATCCGATTCCGTATGGACCATCGTTCTCGAAATAGATCCGCGTATACCTTCGTGTTACACGCGCACTCTGTACATTCTCGCGCCCGGCGTTGTAAACACACCTACGCAAAGCGTTTACGACAACCACTATTCGGAGACGAATGCATGAAAATAAAATCGTCGTCGCGTGCGGAACAAATGGCAGCCAAAGAGAACGATTGCAAAATCGTTACATTCAGCGCGAATGCGATAGATTCATTAATCTCACGTTTCATCTTGTCGTCATTCGAGATCTCAGCGACGCGATTATTAACGGTTATTAAATAAACGTCTTCCTTTCGTTTCTTCTCGTTGTTGCGCCCCGTGTCGATTAACTCGCGCGAAGAGAGATAATTTTTACATGTCTAAAACACACGCGTCACCAAGTAAATAATGGTCGGGTGTCCAAGAAGGTATGTTTTATGAGACGCGTCATTTCCTGAAACCAGATACCGAGCATGCTGACCGGCCCGGCGCAGCAACGGCTCGAAGATATGCCCTGGCTGGCTTCCGGTCCATCGTTGGAATACCAGCCTGGTATCTCGCCGATTCCTGCGGGAGTGAAGATGTGCCATCCCGGCGGCGGCACCGCCCAGAGGAGCCTCAAGGAGCAACGGATACGTCGTCCGATGAACGCGTTCATGGTCTGGGCAAAGGTCGAGCGCAAGAAATTGGCCGACGAGAATCCCGATCTCCACAATGCCGATCTCAGCAAAATGCTCGGTAAGTGCGCACGAAATACATATTTCTTCCTTTTCTTCATTGCTCTCAGAATGATGATCGAAGGGGGGGGGGGGAAGTAGTTCGAAAAATCCGTAACCTTAATTTTCCATCATCGAAATTGGATTCACGCAATGGGCGAAAATAGATACGAATGTAAATTGAAGAACATTGGTGGTTCTTTGGAAACTTTCTTATTTACGTGCTAATTGTCCGAGAAGCTTTTTAAACTCGATTCCATTTTATTAACAAGTATTATATAAGATAATAAACGCCACTTATTTCTCAACGAGGAATAAATTCTCATAATTTACGGATCTAGAAATGTATACTTTAAAAGAAGCTACTCATATTAAGTTTTGTATGTTAAGCAGATCGGACGATTTATTAAAAAAACATTGTATCTTTTAAAACATAATTAAAGCGCATCGAGGTTGCCTCGTTATAGGAAAATTTTCTATCGCCGGATACGGCAAAAGCCGGGGAAGAAAGAGATTATGGTCTCGTCTTTTAAAAATTCCGCACGTACGCGGAAACAATGTTGGCGGTACTCGCGGGAAAAAGGCTTTTCCGCCGGGAAACCGACTCTGGGAATAAGAAAGCAGGAAAAAATCTTACACGCGGCACGGCGCGTTATCATTAAATTAATTGCAGATGTCGGGCGAAAATCTGGAATTAATTCAATTACGCATTAGAGTCGGAGTCTTAAATCTTTGACGGGACGAGGAGAAAGGTGAGAGCTCGAGAATTATGAGAGGAGGAAGAAAGAAAACTTGTGCTCGTTAACATGGTTGTCTTTTTTTCATCGAAACGAAACCGCAAAGGCGGTCACCACAAATATATATCTATGTGATCGCGATAGAGAAATCGCAATTTTTTTCAGCACATCACGCGTTCACGTCCTCTTTGCGAATGTGACTTCGATCGTTGCGTTACTGTTTAGCGATTTCTTAGTAACATCCGACGATTCGATTTCATGAAAGTCAGAAAGTTTTGCGGATGGTTTTGTGGTT